ACTCACATCCGTGCGGGCTGGCGTGAGGGCCTGGTCACCTCATGCCTCGCCTTCGACATAGCGCAGTTCTTCCCCTCTATGAACCATGATCTCTTCTGCCGGATCCTCGAGCGATATGGTTTTGCACGCCGCATTGTCACCTTCTTCCGTGCGTACCTCGGGGGCCGCTCCTCCTGCTTTCGGTGGGGCAAGGCCTTGTCTCCATGGTTTGATGTCCCACCTGTCGGCGCTGGCCAGGGGTCTGCCCTATCTCCCATCATCACCAACATATATCTCGCCCCCGCCATTCACACCTTACTCCCTGCAGGCCCCGCACACCATAGGGCCGCCTTGCAATTCTATGTTGACGACGGCCTTTGGATTGCCACATCGTCTTCAGTAGCTAGCAACTGCCGCATACTCCAAGAGCAATATGCGCGCACTCTCGTCTCACTCGCCCAACTCGGTCTTGTCATTGAGCCAGAGAAACTCGAACTTATGCACTTCATATCAACACGCCTCGAGCGCACCCAGCGCCCCCTTCCACTTGTGCTCGGGGACGGCACCATCATTGAACCCTGCCAGCAGTGGCGATACCTCGGGTTCCGCCTAGATCCCAAACTGACCTTTCGGGCGCACATCGCCTTCTTTGCGGAACGAGCGCTCTCAACCGTCAACGCTGCGCTCATGCTCGGCAACTCGAATCGGGGGCTCACACCGCTTCATAAGCGCACCTTGTATATTGCCTGCATCCTCCCGTTACTGACATACGGTGTTCAGGTGTGGTTCCGCACTAAGGGCATTAAGAAGCTCATGAAACCACTCGCGGCGGCACAACACCGCGCCCTCCGTTGGGTCACTGGGGCTTTTCGGACGACGCCAATCGGGGCTATGCAGGCTTTTGCTGGGGTCATGCCCCTCCACCTACATTGCAAGAAGCTGCATGAGCGGTACGCGCTACGCATCCACAAGCTACCATCTTCCCACCCCATCCGGGCCCTCTTCCCACACATCTTCCCCCCTGGGGAACATGCTCCCTCTGTGCAGTTCCCCATGAGCCGGTGCCCACCGGTGAGCACCATCCCCCTGTCCCAAGCTTTCCCTGAGAATGAGCCACTTGTCACGGAATCGTTTGACCCACTGGACCCCGAGTGTGAGCCAGGCCAGCGCGTCAAGGATTTGTTCGACCACCGCATCACGAGGCACCTGTCGCACCCGTCGAAGAAGGACCGCGATGCCCTCAATACCTGGATTCGGTCTGAACTGCGGCCCCGAATTGACCAAGCACACGCAGACCCCGATGCCTTGGTCATTTTTACAGATGGCAGCGCCATCTTTAACCCTCGCGACGGATGGCTGGGCGGCGCTGCGGCATATCGCGCCTACCACGGCGGACACCTTATGCACTCCCGAGCAATATATGCTGGCTTTGCTCTCGCGTACGATTGCGAACTGATTGCACTGTCCATGGCTGTCGCATTCGCGTACCTCAAGAACTACCACCAACTCCACATCTTCTCTGACTGCAAGGGCGCACTGCAGAGCATGCTCGACACAAAAGACGGCCGGATGGCCTCACTCAACGCATGCCGAATCCTTCATGACTGGTTTGAGCGCGATGAGCGAAACCACCTCCACCTCCACTTTTGCCCCTCGCACTCCGGCGTGATGGAGAACGAAGCTGTGGATGCCGATGCCCGGTATCATCTCTCCAACCCCGAGAACCCGGGACGTCCGTTCCCGCACTCCTATGCCTATCGCAAAAGCGCGATCACCCAAAACATTCTCTCTGAGTGGCAAGCGCTCGCGCGCGCGGCCCCACGGAAGTACTGGGGGCGCTACTACCTCAGGCATCCTGCATTCGCCTTCGACCGACCTCACCACACGGGCTCATACCCACTCAAGCGGCTGGGAGGCCGGCCCGCCCTCACAGCCAGGTTCATTCGCTGCCTCACCGCGCATGCCCCCATAGGCCATTACCGCGACCGATTCCGCCGTCGTCATGAGGAGCCCACCTTCTGCTCTCTCCACTCCGGGCGGCCGACATACCAGACCCGCGAGCACATCCTTTTCGAGTGCGACCACTACACGCGCAAGTACCGGCATTCCTCGATCGAGGACCTCTTACAGTCCCTTGACCCTTTCTACGACATCGAACGGTTCCTGAAAGATAACCCGACCGCGTTCTCCTTTGACGACGCCCCATGACGACACCCACTTCCCGTATGTAACCGTGCGCAGCGCTCGCTTGCAAACTACACACAGGTCCACGGGTACCTACAATCCCGCATACTCGCCTTGCAGACGGCTGTTAAAGCACTGCGTGTATTCGTAACGCGTACATAACTTCCGTTTCTCCCTGTACGTAGTACTGGATCAAAAAAAAAAAAAAAAAAAAAAAAAAAAAAAACCTACTGCCTTTTCTCGATTTCCAGCATTTTGCGCGTCGAAAGTGCGCGCGGCGTTCACGCAAACATTTCCGAAACAGCTGTAGCGCGAGAGCGTCGCACCTCGCTATGATCGCGACTCTCATCCATGCTGACATGTGTGGCCTCCTCTTTCCGCCTATTCCGCTCCGCTGTGCATTCCCATAGCTTCCAGTCTCGCGCTTTCGCGAAATATGCAGTACGGAAGGCTGCTGGATATCGTAAAGCGCGACTGAACGTCAGACGAGCAGCGCTCTCGACCGCGGCGGGAGTTCCGAGAAGGCACGAAGAACAGCGAGCGCACACCCTGACTGTCCTGCACAAGACCACCGCCCTCCTGCCTCGAATCTTGCCTAGTGCTCGACTCAACTCGAGCGAGGTATCTACGCATGAGTCTTTGCAATTCTGGGAAGAAGTGTTGGGTCAGGTGTACCAGGACTTATCCCCCTCGCCTGAGCAGAAAGAAAAGGCTAAAGTCAGAGTAGTCGGTACGTGAGGGAGGGACTGTCTTTGTTTGTGTCCTGAACTGGTCGGCATAAGCGGTGCTGATAGGAAAGTATGACTAGTGTATGGCGTGGACGAGTTCTCGGGCGCAAGTGACCTAGTGACAGCCCTACTTGAGGACCCCTTCGTGACCGACGAGCAGAAGAAAATCCTACGCTCGCGTTGGGAGGCACAACCCTCCGGAAGGCGTTCTATTACCCTCCAGTAAGCCCTCACCTCAGACTCAATTTGCGCGCAAGCATTCACAGTCTTCAGGTACGGGACCTCCACCTCCAGCTCAGCAGACGTCGTCCGTGTCCAATCAGCCTGGCTCCAGCACTTTGGCATGCCATTAGAGGTGTCCGAACACCGACCGTCCTCATCTCCTGAGACTGCAAAAGCGCTTTATGCCGCCGACGTGCCCGTCATACTCTGTAATCCTGCCACCACTCCGCTGCCATCTATCCTGCCTGTCTCCACCGAGCCGCCTCTTCCTGTCTCTCGCCAATATACCATTCTTGCTGTTTCAGTATCCTCTCCGACGCAGTCGACTGCCGCTGGTCAAGCTTCTCACGTCAAGAGCCTGGCAGCCCGGGACGACCTTCGTGTCGTCTTTGTAGACCCCGCTCGCGCGTTGCGTGGCCTCGAGCAGTTGGGATATGGACCCGCGTCTCCACTGTCTGTACAACGATACCAGGATGACATCACCGGATCGAACATTGCGAGCGTCACGCACGCCATCAAGGAGATCCTCTCCGGCGCCGTAGGAGGTGGCGTGAACGAGTCCGAGTCCTCTCGGGCCATCATGGTGCACACCCAGACTGGGCAAGCTCTCATTAGGGACGCGCTGATGACTTGCCGCACGGTCCTGCGCCGTGTGGAGCTCGAGGCAAATGCGGTGCTGACAGGCACTAGCACATTGCGCGGCCAGATGGAGGAGGCGAAGGCGAGGGTCCACCTGGAGGTCTTTGGCTCGCCGGAGAACAATGGGGACGAGATCGCGAAGGCGGTCGGCCAAGCGCGGAAGAGTGTCCAGGTCACGATGGACTCGCTGCAGTGGTACCAGCTGTTCTGGAGGGTGGACGATATCCGCGAAGTCATGACCGCCGCGGTGGATAGAGCATGGTGCAGGGATCTCGAGCGCAAGGTAGGCATGACATTGCTCTTTGCTCCTAGCAGATGTTCAATGAACGATCGCAGCTCGTGTTCCATGCTGGTCGCCTCGCCGCCCTACAAGATTCCTTCAAGGATTCCGCGTCCGCCCTCTGTCGCTCTTTCCCGCCCTCGTCACCCTACCACTCTCCAGTACTGCACAACACCCTCGAGCGCATTACCTCCGCGCCCTCGTACCCGCTCACTGCGACGGCTCTTACAGCACCACTCCGTACTCGCCAAAGCCAACTCGGCTTCCCGACCGAATGTCTGCATATCTCCGCGCAGCGAGCCGTCATCACGATGAGTGGCAGCATGCTTGGCGGCCTTGGCGTGGCCTGGGCGGGATGGGCGAGCGAGCTCGGACTGGCCGGTGGATTGATCCACGTCGGTATGAGTGTCGAAACAGCGGTCGGAGTGGGTATGCTCGGCGCCGCACTTGGCGTGCGTTGGGCTGTTGGGGGGTGGGATAAGGCGAAGAAGCGGTGGTGGAAGGACTGGGATCGCGTAGTGGAGGGTCTCGAGAGGGACCTGAAGGTCAGTGCAAGTCTCTCATGCTAGGGCCGTTCCAGCCTTTGACACATAACGTCCGTTCTCTTCTAGTCTGCACTGACTCGCGTCATGGTTGAACGCGTAATCGTCATTCCGGAGAAGGCTTGCTCTGGGTTGGAAAGCATAGTATTGAAACGCAAAGCTGAGGTTCGGGAGTTGAACGACGAGGTGCGGCGTTTAGAAGCCGAAGTAGACGGAATAGATAAGTAGCTCCGGGTAATGTGTAAGTCGACAACTTCACGATGAACTCAGAAATGGGGCTGCTATAGACGGATGTTGACTCTACACTGTACGATGCTGCGAAACAGCCGCCAGTTGACCGGGTCCACAATGCCAAGCGTATGGATGTAAGGGGATTGATTCCGGCTCAGCGGTGTCGTCGCTACACCACCGCGCAAGTGCCAAAACTACACTGAGCGGGAGTCGAACCCGCGCCGCTTGCTAGCCACGCCCGTTGGAAAGATGGAAGGCAAGCATGATACCGTTTCACCATCAGTGTAACAAGCAAGGGCGGCAATATTAAAATTCTGATGACGCTCAATCCAGTACCTACGTCCAACAGGATCACAATCGACTCCTCAAACTAATACAGCATATTTCTTCAAGTGTTCTGGAATTGCCGACTCCAGGCCCTTCGACTGCAACCAATTCTTAGAGAATAGGCGGCTCTGATATCGATACGCCCCGTCGCACAGTATAGTAGCAATTGTCTTGCCTGCATGCCATCCAGTCAGTGTATTGAAGCTTTGAAAGAGTCATTCACGACGCAGACCTGGTCCTAGTTTCTTTGCGAGCTCCACAGCAGCGACGACATTCAGAGCCGAGCTGGCACCGAGATAGAGACCCTCGGTGTCAAGGAGGTCATAGAGCATCGCGATCGACTTCTCGTCGGGGATGTGCAAGGCGCCATCAAGGTTATCTACGAAGGTAGCCAGGTTGTTTGTCACGCGGCCTTGGCCAATACCTACTCCGAGATCAGGATGAGGGCATAACTGAGAAGGGATCTATATTACTGACCTTCCGTTATCGAGCTCCCAGTACGCTCCGTCAACTTCCCTCCACTGGTGATGTAGCTGTAGAGCACACTGCCAGGCGGGTCCGCAAGCCAAACCTGCGTCTTCCCGTCGCTCTTCTCCTTCAGTAAACGGCCGGTGCCCGCGAGCGTACCGCCCGTGCCGGTCGAGCAGATGAACGCGTCGACCTTGCCTTGCGTCTGCGCCCAGATCTCGGGGCCGGTCGTCCGGTAGTGCACCTCCGCGTTCGCAGTGTTGTCGAACTGGTCCGTCCAGATCGCGTTCGGGAGGCTTTTCGCGTAGTCCCGCGCTTGGTGGTTGTAGTTCTTAGGGTTCTCGTACGGCACCGCGGGGACCGGGTAGACCTCTGCGCCGAGCATGCGCAGGAGGTCGATCTTTTCTTGGCTCTGGAGAGCAGCAAAGGGGAGGCGAGGTATGTGGAGTTCGTAGAAAGCGGACGGGAATATAACATACCTGAGTGTTAGGCATGAAGATCACACAGCGGTAACCCCTCGCTCTGCAAACGTGAGCGAGACCGATACCAGTGTTCCCTGCGGTGCCCTCGACTACCGTCCCGCCCGCTTTCAAACTACACCCCGCTGTCTCAGCCTTCCTCTGTGCTCAAGGACGAGAAAGCGCACTCACAGGCCTCGTTTCTCCGCATCTCGGATGACACCGAGCGCAGCGCGGTCCTTCACGCTGCCACCAGGATTCTGGAGCTCGCTTTTTGCGACGATTTCGCAGCCGGTTTGTTCCGAGAGCTTCTGCAAGCGAATCTAAGAGGGCGTATATATGGCTCAGAATCACCGCTTTGAGCGTCCGTAGGACGATGTGAACAACACGAACCAAAGGGGTGTTTCCAATGCCACCAACGAAGCCATCAACTGAGCGAGACGTGAACGCGCGTGCGAAAGGTCGCGCCTTGAAGGCGGCGCAGATGGACTGCATGGTGGTCAAAGCACAGACGGACGGGAAGCTACAGTACTGGAGCGTGGCAGGGAATTACTTTACGTAGGCCATGTCCCAAAGGCCGCTGCTTATGAGCTCGAGTGAGAACTCTCGCAGCGAAGGCGTCATCATGAGCACCTCTCTTGCCGCCAAACAACTCTCGGCCTTTAGGAAACCGCATTTCAAACCGGTTCTAGCCACTCGCTTATACGCAAATGATCTACGCACAATTGGATTTCTCTCGCATGGACAGGAATGCACAGTGAGAAGCATTGATGGCTTTTCTGCACGAGCCGGCAAAGTCTCAGCACATCTCGGACAGCTACATGCAACTCATACCCAACTCCAATGAATTGCGACAAGGACAGGCAGGTGGTAGTAGAGCACAACTGTAACAATGCAGGACGCAAGACGGCAAACCAGAAAGGAAGCAGGCAGGAGGCCCATTCATTAAAGTGCGAGTACATAGGTGTATCATCAGGGGAAGGGGGTAACACAATGAACATTGCAAAAGGAACAGATGGAGTAAGTAGTTGCAGAGGTAGCGAGACCGGAAACGTGTGGACTGGCTGTCCGTCGTGCGAGCGATCGTGCGTCATGCGGGCCGTTAAATGGTCGAGATCACCAGAACGGGTAGGGGTATAGAGCAAAGTGAAAAGAGAATCCCAGCTGATTGCCTGGAGGCTGCAGGGCGTAGCAACCAATTTACTGCTGGCGTTTCTTCACGTTCTGTGAGAGCCATTGCAGGCCCTCGAAGAGACCCTCTCCCGTCGTCGCGCAACTAGACAAAGGTGAGTACCAATCTGGAGTAGTGGAATCCGGAATGATTTGCGCTTACCTTGGGTGAACATACCATGACCTGTCACGCATACGGTGGAGACCCAACTTCTCCGTAACCTCTGCTGGCGACATCGCTTCGTGTGCATACCGATTAGCACCAGTAAGGCTTGCAACCATGGAAGCGACGCACCTCCGGGCAAATCCTGCTTGTTCGCAAAGACCAATAGTAGACACTCCTTCATTTCTCGGTCGCTTAATATGCGGTGCAACTCCTGTTTGGCCTCGTCTATACGCTCGCGGTCCTGGCTGTCAACGACGAAGACGAGAGCCTGCGTGCCGGTGTAGTAATGCCGCCACAAAGGCCGGATCTTATCCTGTCCTCCAACGTCCCAGACGTTGAACTTGACATTCTTGTATGTCACAGTTTCTACGTTGAAACCAACTGCACGCCACCAACAAGAACGTCAACGGCGGCTACCAGTGATATACCCCGTCATATACACCAGCCACGCACCTGTGGGGATTGTTGTGACAGACTGGTTCAACTTGAGCTTATAGAGGATAGCTATGGACAAGGCGCGTCTTTCAGCGCCGCTACACTGCAGAACAAAGCGAAACCTCAACTCACTCGTCTTGCCCGCCGCATCAAGGCCCAGCATCAGGAGCCGCATCTCCTTGTTCCCAAAGATCTTCCCTAAAGAGTGGGAGATACCCTCTCGTCAGCACGCACGTCGCTCGTTCGCACGCTTGGCTGAGCCTAAGGCACGAAGCGCGGCAATACAAGGAGGACGCACCCATCGCCTTCGAGAGATTAGCACCCATGGCTGGCAGTGAATTGCAGAAAGTAATGAACGACGGGAGGTGAGACGTGAGGGATAAACGTGAGAGTCAACGACAGAGTGCGGTCGCGTCGAGGAAGGCGGCGGTGACAGTCACTCTGCCCAGAGACGCCCAGATGCCCATAGAAGGGACCCCAGGCACCGGCACCGCTCAATCCGGCGACAGGCAATTCTGAGCGCGAAGTCGACGTAGTCGAGGCTTGCGGCGTGCATGCGACTTGCACCATCCAAGGACGATATATAGCTCTACCGCACGTACAGAACACTGCAGGGGCAGGTGGTATACATAAAGAAGCAGCCAGAGTCCCAAGCACACCGTAGCACATCCGCACGCCCTCGACCATTATGAAGATGGCTGCACCGCGCGCGGCGAGGCCAGCTGCGACTGGTTGAACACCTTGAGCCAGCCCTCGCCCATGTCAGAACGTAGCGCCTCGATGCGTGCGCGGAACGCGTCTGCCTCGCGGAACTGGCTCTCCATCGTTTCGTCCTTGCTCGGTTCATACACCGACGCCGAGACACGCGCACGCCTAACCCCGGACCGAGATATCGTCGATGACTTGCGGAGGGAGCCATGCGAGGACGGTGCGAACGCTTCGGTGGAGTCTGCGAGGTTCGTGCTCGGGGAAGGCGCAAACTCAGTCATGTGCCTGCTGTGTCGCGACATCGGCTTCGCGACCGGCGTGGGCTTCACCGACGCCGCTGCAGGAGTCTGCCGGTTCTGCTCTGAAGGACCTTGCCTGACCATAGGAGGTGAAGGGTGCTGTTCAGAAACTGGAACATGCTTGTCAGGGCTGGTCGTCCTGGGTGTTGCGGTAGGACGTGATGCACTCGCGCTCCCGGCATCACTGCCTTCACGTCCGCCATCCAAGTCGACAATTCGCTTATTCCTCTTCTTACGCCCGCGCGCAGCTGCCAGGTGGGGTGACGTTGGTTGCGACGCTGGAGAGTCGTTTGGCGAGGAATGCAGGGGGCTTGCACGAGGACCAAGACCGGCGTTGAGCTTGGATGGGCTGCCTACTGGCACGATCGGGGGAGATTGGGCAACAGATAGCGGTCTGGAGGATGTCATCTGCTCGGGTGGGGGGGAAGTTAAGTAGCGCTTCTCGTAGAAACCAGGTGGCGAGCCGTCGAGCAGGATACTCTTCTTCTCCTTCCAAAAGAAGTCAAAGCAGCGGATGCGGTAGCTCTCCTCCATCTCCACGAGAGGATTGCCCTCGATCCACACCTCTGCAATATTCGGCAGTGTGGCTAAACGACCGATCTCGGCGCTCTCCTCAATGAGATTATGTCGGAGGTCGACGCGCTCGAGGGCAAGGAGCCGCTCGAGGCCGCATATGGACTCGAGACGGTTCTTGGAAAGATTGAGTGTGAGGACGCCACCGAGTTTGGTGTAGATGCCAAGCACGGAGTCAATCATGTTGTCAGAGAGGTTGAGGTATACGAGGTTGTAAAGTGCTGACAGGCCGGAGGGAACGGAGACCAGAAGATTCGACGACAGGTCAAGATGCGTGAGGGATGTCAGGCGGGAGAGAAAAGATGTCGGAAGAAAGGTGAGCGCGTTATCTGCAAGGGATAGATGTCGTAGGAAGGCCCACGTAAGCGAGGGCAGCTCTGGGGGAGGCGAAGCCTTCGGGGTATCTGGTTCGTTTGGTTCGGCGACGCTGTCACCCTCAGCATCCTCGTTGCCCTCTGGAACCGATTCTGGTAGTCGCGAGCTATGGAATGACGACTGTCGCGACACACCGCGCTGGATCCGTCGTGGCTTGGTTGAGCTGACCTTCCCCGCACGTCTCGCCTGATCATCAAGCACAGCGCTGATGAAGATGTCTGAGACGTCTTCAAGCCCACTACGCTTCAAAGTGAGGCTCCGCAGGCTCTGCGCCAGTCTGTCCCATCCCAGTAGTGAGCGGGGGTCG